ACTAGTACTACTACTACTACTACTACCACCACTACTACTACTACCACCACTACTACTACTACTACTACTACTACTACTACTACTACTACTACTGCTAGTACTACTACTACTACTGCTACTACTACTACTACTACTACTGCTACTACTACTACTACTACTACTACTACTACTACTACTGCGGTTTCGTGCCCCTCCTACCCCTCCGGGGAGGCCCCGCCAGAGCGAGGAGGGTATCGGAACCATGCAATTTCTTTGCACGGCTTCGTGCCCCTCGCGTCCCTCCGGGGAGGCTCCGCCAAAGCGAGGAGGGTATCGGAACCACGCACTATATACACGGTGTCGTGTCCCTTCCCACCCCCCTGGGGAGGCCCCGGCAGAGCGAGGAAAGTATCGGAACCACGCACTATTTATTCGGTTTCGTGCCCCGCCCTTCCAAAGTGGCCCCGCCAGAGCGAGAAGAGTATCGGAACTGCACACTATTCACACGGCTTCGTGCCCCTCCCATCCTTCCAGGGAGGCCCCGCCAGAGCGAGAAGGTCATTTTACACGGTGTTGTGCCCCTCCCCTGCTCCATGGAGGCCCCGCCAGAGCGAGGAATGTATCGGAACCACATGCTATTAACACGGTTATGTGTCCCGCCCATCTCTTCCAGGGAAGCCCCGCCAGAACGAGGAATGTATCGAAACCACATAACACGGTGTCATGCCCTTCCCACCCCTCCAGAAAGGCCGTCTGGGCTTTCTCTTGAGCGTCTCTGAACAATCTTGGGGCCATCTTGGGGTGTTCTTTGGGCGCTCTTGAGGCTGTGTTGGGTGTCTCTTGGGCCATCTCGGGCGCCTCTGGAACCGTCTCGGGGCCGTTCTGGGGCTCTCCTGGGGGCGTCCTGGGGCGATTTTTGGGGCCTCTGTAGCAGTCCTGGAGACTGTGTAAACGAACAGGAGTAACATATCCCCAATGGGCGTTTTTCGAAGGGAATTGGACGATTTTTGCCTCTTGGGGTTCTCCTGGGAATCTTCCCGGGCCGCCTTGGGAGCCTCCTGGCCTTGGAGGCCTCTGGGGCCATCCTGGGGCTCTCTTGGATCGTCTGGGCGCCCTCTTGATCATCTCTGAACCGTCCTTGGGTCGTTATTGGGTGCTCTTGGGGCTGTGTTTGGTGCCTTTTGGGCCGTCTCGGGCGCCTCTGGAGCCGTCCCGGGGCCGTCTCGGGCCGTTTTGGGACCCTCCTGTATGCGTCTGGGGGCGTCTTGGGGGCCTGTACAGATTGTGCAGACGAAAAGAACGGACCTAGGACAATATACGTTTTCCAACAAAAAGGGGGCGATTTTTGCCTCGTGGGGCTCTCATGGGGGTCCTCCTGCGCCGTCTCGGGTGCCTCCTGGCCTGCCTTGGAAGCCTTTGGGGCCATCCTGGGGCTCACTTGGGGTCCTCTTGGGGCGTCCGGGCGCCCTCTGGAGCGTCTCTGAGCCGTCGTGGGGCACTTTGGGACCTCCCGGAGCCGTCTCGGAGCGCCCGGGGGACTCACAGGGGCGCCCCGAAGGGCCCGAGGACCCTTTCGGGACAGAAACCTTCTCGCACGCCCAGGTCGCTGCATTGTGATATAGATGACGTCGGGCTCCAGCTCCGCCTCCCGCATCTCGCTCAGCAGCGCGAGCGCTGGCTGCCATTGCTCGCCCTTTTCGCACGCGCTGATCCCGGCGCTGCAGCTGACTCGGGCTGGCCTGTGGACTCCGTCCAGGACATCTTTCTGGAATGGTTCTCGGAGTAACGGCGCAGATCGTACCGAAAATCTACAGACACGGCGGCGGCTCGGGCGGCGGCAGCGAGACCGCGCCTTCGTGTCCGAGCTCTTGCAGCGCTCCAGCAGCTTGGCCCCGCGCACTGCTCGTTCACCCCCCTCCTATTGAGGGCAGTTTCGAAGTCTCTCGGGGATGTGCGTCGAAAGCGAAGCCCATCTGAGGCGTCTCAGGAGCGCCTGAGGAAGGGCCCGGAAGGCCATCGGGGAAAGCCACCGAAAGCGCTGGGGAGGCTCGCAAGGATCTACAGGGAGGGCCCAAGAGAGCTTCACGAAAATTTGAAATTCACTAAAATCTTAAGGGAAACCGCTGTTGGGTCGGCCATCACTTCCGGGCACGCCTTGATGGTGCGTTCCAGTCGCATCGCCGCCAACCGGAGGGTTTGTTCGCCATGTCCCATTCTGTTCGCCCAGAGGGTCTGTGGAGGCCTTCGGGCGAACAGAACGGGACAGGGCAAGGAATGGGGAAGACTTGTCCGAATCTCCTGGGCCCCCCAGGTGCTCGTCCGAAGAGTGCGGAGAGGTCCCTGGGTCATATCAATTAGCTGCTGTCCCAGGGGTCCGGTCTGGTTGGCCCGAAGAGTTTGCCAAGACTCCTGGGGGAACAGAATGGCACAGCATATCGGGCAAAAGGGGGCGGTAGCTGGCCTGCCAGACCCGGCTCTCGTCTTCTGCCCAGGCGGCGCGAGGCCCACGGGCCCCAGGGTTGGCGGCCCGCTGGGTTTCCTCTTGCTCGCCCACAGGGTTGGAGGAGACCCCCAGGCGAACAGAATGGGGCAGGACAATGAATGTGGGAGACTTGTCGCAAGCTCCCAGCCCCCCAAGTGTTCGCCCGAAGGCTGTGGGGCCGCGTTGGCTCCCTCAAAGGGCCGTCTTGGAGCTGTCTAAGCCCGTCTTGAGGGCGCCGTTTGCCGTGACGGGGCCGTCATGGTTCGTCGTGGGCCCCTCATGGGCGCGTCCGTAGGCCGTCCTGGGCCCGTCGGGGTCCTTGTTGGCACTATCGTGGGGCTGTCTTGGAGCCGTCTGGGGCCGTGAGGGGGCCGCCTTTGAGTCGTCTTGGGCCCCTCCTGTGCGCCTCCTTGGGCCGTCCTGGGCCCAGCAGGGGCCGCGTTGGCACCCTCTTCGGGCTGCCTTGGAGCCGTCTCAGCGCGCCTTGGGTTGTGCTGGGTCCGTCTTGGCCCGTCTTGGGGCCTTTCTGGGCGTTTCCTCGGACCCTCATGGGACTTTCTGGGGCCTCTTGGGGCATCGGACCGCCGAAATGGCGGGAAACGCAAAGGGTGTAACAATAAACAATGGAAAATAAACGATTTTTGCCAGCTGGGGCTCTCTTGCCATCTTGGCCCGTCTTGAGGCCCCGACCGGGCGCCTCCTTGGGCCGTCCTGTGGCCGTGTTGGCACCCTCCTGGGACCGTCTTGGAGTCGTCTTGGGCCGTCTTGAGCGCGCCTTGGGCCGTCCTGGGCCCGTCTGGGGCCGTGTTGGCACCCTCGTGGAGCCGTCTTGGAGCTGTCTTGGGCCGTCTTCAGCGCGCCTTGGGCCGTGGTGGGGCGGTCTTGGCCCGTCTTAGGGCCCTCCTGGGAGCCTCCTGGGGGCGTTTTGGGTCCTTTTGGGGTGGCCTTGAAGTCGGCCTCTCGGAGCGCCTTGGCGCTCGCTTGGGTCGTGTCGTGCCCATTTGAGGGGCCTCGTGGACGCTCTGTAGGGCTTCCCGGAGCGTGCAGGGACCGTCTCGGGCCCGCATGGCGCCGTGTGGGGCCCTCACCGCGCCATCTGGGGAGCCTCCAAGGGTCCTGGAGCGCCCGACGGGCTCCTGGAGCGCTCTGGGGCGCTCTGGACCGCTCCCCCAAAACACATTACCCCAGTGCGACCCTACCTAGAAGTTGGAGCCCCTAGGAAAGCAGCATTAGTTGCTATGCTATACTATGCTATGCTATGCCATGCAATGCTGCGCTGTGCTATGCTATGCTACGCTATGCTATGCTATGCTGCGCTATGCTATGCTATGCTATGCTATGCCATGCCATGCCATGCTATGCTATGCTAAGCTATGCTCTGTCATGCTGCGCTGTGCTATGCTAATATATGCTATGCTATGCTAAGCTGCGCTATGCTATGCTATGCTATGCTCTGCTATGCTATGCTATGCTATGCTGCGCTGTGCTACGCTGTGCTGTGCTGTGCTGCGCTATGCTATGCTATGCTCTGCTCTGCTCTGCTATGCTGGGCTATGCTATGATATGCTGTGCTGCGCTATGCTATGCTACACTATGCTATGCTCTGCTATGCTAAAACTCAGCGAAGCTAAGATGAAGGTAAGCTAAGCTAAGATAAACCTGAGCTAAGATGAAGGTAAGCTAAGCTAAGATGAAATAAACTAAACTAAGATGAGATAAGCAACGCCAAGCTAAGGGGACGTAACTGGGGGAACCCCGGGGCGGATACCGGGGTAACCGCCCGGGGCGAGCCCCACTGCCCGGCCCCTTTAAGCCCAGAGAGTGAGAACCCTTCTAGGCAGAGCCTAGGTAGGGAGCATGAAAGGGCCCCAGAGCGTTGAAAACAGCTCTTGTGGGCATGCGGTCCGGCCCTGGCCTCTCGTCCGACCCCCCTCTCTTAGAGGCAAGGTGGAAGCCACTTAAGGCCTCGTGGGGGCCGTTTGGGGGCCTCTTTCCGGCCTCCCAGGAATCCCTTGGGTCCCTCTTGGGCCGTCTTAAAAAGCCTCTTGGGCCGTCTTGGGGCCGTGTAGGGCCGTCTTGGGCGCAGCTCGGACCGTCTTGGGGCCGTCTTGGGCCGTTATTGACCGCTCTTGGGGCTGTCTTGGTTGCCTCTTGGGCCGTCTAGGGCGTCTCTGGAGCCGTCGCGGGCCCGCCTCGGACCGTTAGGGGTCCCTGCTGGGGTGCTCTGGCGTCTTGGGGCGATCGGGAAGGCCTGCATAGCCGTCTTGGACGCGGTGAAGACGAAAAGAGCGAGCATACCATAAATGTACGCTTTCCAAAGGGAAGGGGGCAATTTTTGCCTCTTGGGTCCCTCCTGGGGGTCCTCCTGGGCCGCCTTGGGAGCCTCCTGGCCTGCAGGCCTCTGGGGCCGACCTGGGGCTCGGTTCGGTCCCTCTTGGTCTGTCCAAGCGCCCTCGTGGGCGTTTCTGAACCGTCTCGGAGCGGCCCGGGGTCTCGCAGGGCGGCCTGGAGAGCCCGGCGGACATTTCAAGACAGAGGACCTTCTGGCACGCATCATGGCCTTCGGCGAGACCTGATCGGACAAGAACGGGAAGCGCCGCTTTAGTCTATTGGGCGTATTAGGCGAAGAAGAAAAGGAAGGCGAGGACAACGAGGAGTCGATGACGAGGACGACGTGGCGAACGTGAGGATAGCGCGGAGGAGCATGAGGACAACGAGGAGGAAGAGAAGCACAAGGACGATGACGAAGAGAACGAGGGCGAGTACGAGGAGGAATGCGGAGGGCGACGACGACGACGACGACGACGACGACGACGACGACGACAGAGGACAGTACGAGGCAATTGGAGAAAGACGTTGCTCCTGGCGCCGCGCGGGGTTCTCTTGGGGCTTGTTGGGGGCTTCTTGGGGGCCCCTTGGGTCCTCTTATGGGCTTCAGGAGTCTTCTTGGGCTGTCTGGGCGCGTCGTGGGGTTCTGTGGGAGCTTTCTTAGGCCGTCTCGGCGCTGGGGGCCTCCTGGGGCGCTCCCGGGAGTCTCTTGGGGCCTTCTTGGCCCTTCTTGGGCCGTCTTGGGGTTCTTGTGAGCTGTGTGGGTGGCTCCTAGAGCGCTCTTGGGGGTCTCTGGGAGTCTTCTTGGGGCGCTCTTGGGCGCTCCTGGGGCTCTCCGGGGCGTCTTTTGGGCCTCCCTTGGGCTGTTGGAAAACACTCCAAGAGCGATTCGAACACGACGTTGACGTCTTGGCGTTATCTTGGACTGTCTTGGCGTTATCTTGGACTGTCGTGGGGCTCTGGGGGCCTGATTGGGGCCCGTGGGGAGCATTTTGGGAGCCTCTTGGAGGCTTCTGTGACCCTCTTGGACGCAGGCGTCTCTCGAGGGTCTGTGGGGGCTCTCTTGGGCTGTCTTGGCGTTCTCTTGGACCGTCTTGGGGCTCTCTTGGCCAGTCCTGGGGCCTCTTCGCGCGCTCGAGGGGGCCTCTAGGCGCCTCTTAAGGGCCTCTTGGGGGTCTCTTGGGCCGTTTTGGGGGTCCCCTGGGGGGCCTTTGGGGGCTCTCTTGGGCAGTTTTGAGGCCCTCCGGGAGCGACTCCAAGATAATGCCAGTTCGGAGTCCCCTCCGGAGCCGATTTTTCGAGGATGTCTCGAGCGAAACGGCCATTTTTCCGGAACCTGACCGCACAAGAACGGGAAGCGCCGTTTTTGCTCATAGCAGTGTTTGTCGTCAAAGCTCTGGACGCCAGCGTTCGTACTGGGAGCTCTGGCGTTCGAAGCTGCCCACGTCATCGTTCGTAATGGAGCCTTGGGATGTCGTGGTCGGTCTCTCGTAGGCCTCTTAGAAGCAATTCTGAAGCCTCTTGGGGGCCGTTTTTTGGGGCCGTCTTGGGGGCTTCTTGGGTGCCTTTTTGGGGCCTCTTGGGGGCCTCTTGGAGCGTCTTGGGGGGCTTCCGGGGGCCTCCTGGACCCTCCGGGGGGGCACTTGGGGCCGAGGACCCGAAAAGTCCGTTCGTGTACCTCGTCTGTGCCCCCTCTAGGAGCCATATTGACGGCCTCTTGGGCCGCCGCGAAGCCTCTTGGGGCCGTCTTGGGGCCGCCTTGGGGCCTTCTGGTGCCTTCTTGGGGCCGTCTTGGGGGCCTCTTGGGCCGTCTTGAGGCGATCTTGGGGGCCTCTTGGGCCGTCTTGGGGCGATCTTGGGGGCCTCTTGGGCCGTCTTGGAGCGTCGGGAAACGGAAAAGGCGAGAACCCTAAAAACCTTCAAAAACTATTCAAAAATCATAGATTTGTGTCTCTTTGGCGCTCTTGTGAGGCCTCTTCGAAGCCTCTTGAGGCGTCTTGGAGGCCTCTTGAGGGCCTCCTGGGCCGTCTTGGAGCTCTCTTGGACCGTCTGGAAGCCATCTTAGGGCATCTTGGAACGCTCTAGGGCGGTCTTGGAGCGCTCTTGGGCCGTCTTGGAGCCCTGGTGGCCGTCTTGGGCGCGTCTTGGTCAGATTTTTTGAGCGGAGTGTCAATTTTTCCGCAATTTTCGGGAACCTGACCTGACAAAAACGGGAAGCGAATGTTCGAACGTTCGTTGCAGGTGTGGCATCACATGGGGACGTCAAAACTGGAACGCTTGTGCGAACAGGAGGGGACTGCGCGGTGCCCGAGTCAAGGATCCCTCGAAAGTATACGACGCTCGCGCTCCCGAGGCGACGGACGAGTGACGACGACGACGGCGGCGGCGGCTGCGGCGGCGGCGGCGGAGGAGGACGAACAGGAGAATGAGGAGGGGCGGGAGGATGCTGGGAGAGGGGGGGAAGGAGGGAGACAAAGAGGAAGAGGAGGCAAGGAGGACGAATGGGGGGAAGGCGACGCTTCTCGGCGCTCCTTGCGAATCGCTGTCGGTGTGTAGGGGGCGTGTGGGCGCAGCCTTCGGGTTCCGTGGGGGTTCGTGCAGAGCAGTAAGGACGGTCGAAGCCACGCTGGGAGCCGTGTGGGACACTCTATGAGGTTTCTGAATGTTTTTTCTGGACGCTGGCGCGTCCGTAGATTGGGTTCTTGGGGTCTCCGGGCGCGTGGTGGAGGCCTCTCGGGGCGCCTTTGGGCCCATGTGCGTTCAGATTCCAATCCGGCACCGCATCTTTGAGGATGGCTGGAGCAAAACGGCCTTTTGGTTTGCCGCGCTGGTCTGGCGTGCTGGTCGACCCAGTATGCCGTCTCGGCGCGTGATGGACCTTGTGGGCCGTCTGGGGCTCTTCGGGCTTTCTGGGGGTCTCTCGGGAGCCTCTTGAAAGCTTGTTGGCTATCTTTCTGGAACTTCTCTGGAATGTCGTGGGCCCCTTGGATTGTCCTGGCGCTTCTGGAGGGTATGCGGTTACTCCCTTGGGCCATCTTGGCGCTCTCTGGGGCCGTCTTGGGGCTCTCGTGGGCGATATGGGAGTTTCTTCTGGCACTCTTGGTGCCGTTTGGGCGCCTCTCAGGCGTTCTTGTGCGCAAAGGTGTGGACGGTTGATTCGTGTTCTTGTCGTTGCTGACGTCGTCTTCTTTGTCGATGTATTTTCTTGCGTAGTGGCTTCCGTCTTCATCATTATTGCCCTCGTCCTCGTGATCGTATTTCTCGTCGTCGTCGTTGCTTTGTCGATGTCGATTGCAGGACTGGCGGGAGGAAGTCATGCGCTATGCGAACACATCGTGGCGTCGGAACACTGCACGGCAGCAACGGCATGCTCGTAGGCACGCCTCCGAAGGGAATGAAAATGCAGTGGCAGATCGCTTTGCGATCAGTTCGCCAAGCGGTTACATTCTGCGTACTCGTGGAGTAGAAATGGTGGTACGTCTGCGGCTGTCCAGAAAGACGTCTGTGTCTCCGTGCATGCGGGCGCGTGGGAGCCGGCACGATGTGCAGCACGTAGTTCAGCACCTCTGAAATGAAAGGGCTCTTCCCACCACAAGGAAATCCAGAAAGGGTAATCGTCGCGCTGGCTACACGTGTTGTATAAGCAGGTTTTCGCCTGGTTCGGGGGGTCCGAAATGTGACGAGGGCCAAGGGAGTCTGGGCTTCCCGCGCAGCAGCAGGTGAGTCTCGAACCGTTGGGCGCAAGAGTCCGAGGGTTCAAGGAGGGCTGCCCGGAGGGGGTAGCCAAGACGTCCCTGGCCCAGGTCGATTTGGGATCCCCAGGCCTGTGCCGGTAAATTGTTCCGGAACACGAAGACGCCGATGTCGAGGGCCTCGCTGAGGCTGTTGACGTCTGTTTGTGTGCCCCAATGAATATTTCCAGGTTGGGCCATGCGAGCGGCAATGCTTTCTCGAAGGTGCTGCAGTCGCGCCGTGCCGTCTGGTATAGTGATCAGGCTTTCGTCGCGGTCGCCTCCTCCAAGTCGCGCAGCTGTCACGGCCACCCGGGCAACGGCACTCCCGTCGGATCTTTCCTCGAACGCGAGGACGCTCTCCACGTGCGCGAAGCAATCCAGAGAGGACTGGCGAAGAACATCGAGCGGAATCCATAGGTCTTCATGCATCCCCGTGCGGTGCTGCATACAGGCGGACACCATGAAGTCAAGTACTTGCTCCGGGGTCCAGCGCAGGTATATCCGAGCGGACAGATGTCGGAGTGCTCGCATGACGGCATCCTTGCCCTGGAGGAAAACTTGCGAAGACACGGTCTTCAATATGTGGCGCGCAGGTGGGCCACCAGCGACAACCATGCGAGCCAGCACTCCGGCAATGCTGTAGAAGAGGCAGTCTCCGCGGCCGCCGAACTCGACGCTGTGCACGGACATCGTGGAACCAATGGAAGACCCAATAGTTGCAACGCGGGTGCACAGTGCGTCTGAGACGGCATGGGCGGCACCATGTGCCCACTGCAGCAGGGGGCGCGAGTTGGACGCAGGTGATAGCAAGAAGAAGGGGCACCGCTCGTAGTCGACGCAGCACTCCGGCGCGCCGCACTCGCCGCACGGGCGGACGGATGCAGTCGACGGCACTATCGACGTAGCTGTTGCGCTTGGAGCTCGCGTTCGTGTCGTCGGGGGTGCCGAGCCGAAGAGAGCGTCGGCCATCGGTGCTGGGTGCCCGGACTGCGCCTGATGGCCAGCGCGTGCATCGATTGCCTTCCCTGGCACAGAGTCCTGCGCTCGGGGCGGCGGCGGCACCTGCGCCGCGGTACTCTCCGTCAGCCGCGGCTTCTTCAGCGGGGGCAGCGCAGACAGGGTCATCGCTTGCTCCGCCGCGCCGCCGCCGGCGCTCCACGTGTCTCCATCCTGCGGCAGCAGCGTTGGCGGCGGTGTCTTCCCGCGCGTTCGCCGAAGCACACTGCGGCCCTCCTCGGGGCGCGAGGGCGGCGGCGAAGCTGTCGCGCGCTGCTGGTGTCTGGCAGGGCGGTTAGCTCGGAAGGAAGCTACCCGGGATGCCTGGCGCGACGCGCCATCGCTCGCGAGGACGTGATCCATCAGGTCGTCGGGCAACGCATCTCCTGTCATGTCCCGCAAAGTGCGGATGAGGTCACCGAGCGACGACGTCTCCATTTCGGCCAGCCTGGTAATCTCGTCTAGCAGGAACTTCGGCGGCTTTCGGGAAAGTTCTCGCCTGGTGGCCGGGCGTAGAATGAAAAGGCTCTCCACGGAGACAGCGCGCGAGAGCATCACGTAGCACGCAAGCCAATGCGTATCTGCGTCCATGGAAGGCGGCTTCTTCATGTCAGCCACCACGGCTACGTATGTACCCCCCTGAGCGCCGTACACAATAATCGTATCTGCTGGCAACAAACGGTAAGTGGTGCGGCGTACTGAGAAATGCTCCTCTTCCCACGCTGCGCGCAAATGCCCGCACGTCGGTCTCATTTGAAACAAGCCGCGCCGGTCAGTGCACGTGGGGAGGTCCGCAGCCAAGTCGGCCGCCGGGAGTTCCCAGTCGCCGCCGTCAGCCTGCAGCCATAGGGAAACGGGCATGAACTGTACGTGCACGACGTTCTCGTCCATTGGGTCCGACTGGAACGGCTCTCCGTCGGCGAAGACAATGTGGCGGAGCGTGCAGACGCAGCCCTTCATGAGGCCCAGCCGCACGCAGTCTTTCGAGCACATAGTCAGGCGCATTCCGATGTACAGGGGCAAAAGACTCGGCAAGTCCTGCGTATCTTTCGGGCTCACCTTCTGCAGGAGGTCTCGATGGACCTGTTCTGTCATTTTTTGAGCGTCGGCGGGGTCCACTGGCTCGTCTCGGGCTTGGACGACGATTATATAGGAAGTAGTTAAAACGAATTACCGTAGAGAGAGAGGTGCAGAATTTAAAGGAGAGATAGAAGTCAGTTTTAAGCACGTACAGAGTAGAAGAGAAAGGTAATAGAGTAAAGATGAAGACAAAGAATAAGGTAAGAGTTAGAAACGGAGCTATAGGGTGTTAGAGTAGAAGGAAAAAAAGGGAATGAGGCGGTGGCCCGTCCGCAGTGCTTGCTGCTTAGCGTTCTGCATGGATCGGTAGACGCGAATCTTGTGCCTGTGGACGATGTATGTCCAGGGGTTCGTGGAGAAGGGCGACGCGGGATCGCGCGGGCGGGCGTCATCTGAAGATAAGATGCGACTGGTGTACAAGGACCACATCGCGTCCGATATGTTGCCTGCACGCATCTCCGCCAGCAGCTGGCTGAGTGTGCCAGGGGCGCGGACGTTCACTTCCAGCGTCACCACTTTCCGGACGCGGCGCCACAGCTGCAGTCCTTGCACCGTCTCCACGTGCTTCGACCTCTTCTTGTCCGCGTTATGTTCCTGGTCGTACTCGCCCTTCTCATTCAGGACGTCGACCTCGTCCAGGTCCGTGGCGAGGCTCCTGTTGTCGCCCGTGGGGTCGACTGGTGGGAGCTGCATGAAGTCCCCGGACAACGTCATGCCCAAGCCACCCCAAGCCTGGGTGGAGTTCTTGGCCGCCTTCAATCGAACCTCCGCCTGGAAGAGCTGGGCTGCTGCGACCATGGACACCTCGTCAATGAAGCACGCGAGGGCGCCTTCCCAGCGGCTCCGGTGGCTCTCCAAGACAGTGCGGGTGAGGCGACCTTTCTTACTGGACACGGTCACGTTGCCAAACGGTAGCTTGCACAGTGCGTGCAGCGTGTCCCCTCTCAGAAGCCTTGCCGCCGAGTTCGACGGCGCACATTTCTGCACCGTGTCTGGGCCGTTGAAGTAGCAGATGATTGCCTCGACGACTCTCAGAACCGCCGTCTTCCCAGTGCCTCCGGGGCCCATGAGTGCGATTTGAAACCCGTCTGCCAAAGACGGTCGCCCTGTGACAGTCGGCCCAGAGGGCTCGTCGAACCCCCGCGCGCGGTTCATGACGTCTTGTAGCCATGCAGCGTTCCAAAGCAGCGCGCGCGCCTGTTTGACGTTGATCTCGGGCATGTCGACCACGTTCAGTACGCCCGCCCGCAAGAGGTGGAAGCAAGCGTCGAGCACTGCAGTCCGCGTACGCGGAGGTACAAGCGGGAACGCCGAGCTGCGGCCGTCTGCCATGACCGTCTGGAGTCGATGCTGCAGGGCATCCTGCGTCTCCTGAGTGGACTTCTGCGGCTTCGTACTCGTCTCGGCCTTCCATGCGTCAATCATCTTGAAGAAATCCGCTTGCCGGTCCGCAGCCGCCAGAGATGCGGCCGGGCGCAATCGCACGGCATCCTCGAATACTGGTGCACGAGAGGCCACGTCCGGCGCTCGGAGCCGGGCGGAGTTCTCTCGCATGAACTCGACAATGTACTTCGCTTCTGCGGCGGTGCTTCTCAGCCATGCCGCTGGAGCAATCACGTCGTCCATTTCCACGCCCGCGGGGAAAATGCCGCAGAGGAGGCTGGCCGGGTCGGGTGCTCGGTGTCGTCGGGCTGGCGCGTCGTTGCCCGTGTTGTCGTCGTCCAAGGGAATGTCGGGCGGGTTTGCATCGTCGTCGCCGTCGTCGTCGGACTCCAGCAGAGTGTCCGGGTCGTTCGCGGCGGCCTGGGCTGCTTCGTCACGGGCGGCGTTCCACGGTGGGAGAAATGGCATCTGCACGCTTGACGGCACGGCTTCACTGATGGCTTGCCTCCTGGAGGATGCGAAGTCGTAGTTGCGAATGCTCTCCAGTATTCTGTGCGCCCACCACTCTGGGGTTAGAGGGGGCGTCTCCGCGGTGCACTTTCGAGCCACCTCTCGGGTCGACATTTCCCATGCGCGGAAGTCGTGCACGACGGCTGCCTGACATGCTTTCTCTCCATGCGGCCACGGTGTCGACGTGATGCGGGTGACGAAATCTGACAGGGCCCGGAAGGACCTGAACAGAACCATTACATTCAACGCATAGAGGAACCACTCGTCCAGGTGGTCGTCGCTGGCAGGCCGGCCAGGCAATTTGCCGTAGAGGATGGGCACCTTCCACGGCTTTGTCAAACGCAATGAGATGTAGTACGCGTACCTGTAAAGTACTTCCCCATTGGGCTCTGCGTCCGTCGAAGCCCCTCGGAGCGGCACTCCGTCGTAAGTAGCGCTGGTCACTGGCGCGGCCGTGCACTGCCGGCGGCTACCGTCCCTGACCCACCGAAGAGATTCCGGCGGGGGGTTCTTGCCAACGGGCAACTTGGCGTCGCAGCTCGCGAAGAAGAAGTAGAAGGGAAATTGTTCCAGTTCTTGCGGCCTGCGCACGTAGTCCAACTCGCCGATGTGGAGTTTGGCTGGTGTCAACTTCGTAGTATATGGTCGCGGTTGGCTGTGGTCTGTCTGGACAGGTTCACCGCGAGCTGTCTGGGACATGGTGGCACGAATGATCGCGAGGAGCTTCCCGAAGAAGACAGGGACAAACGTGTGGCTGCTGTACGCGATGGGCTTGCCTAACAGGTAACTGATCATCTCGGGGAACCCCTTGTGCATCCGGTTGTTAGTCGCGGCCACCTGCGTGTGCAACAATTTGCGTGCCTTCTCCTGGTCATCGACCATGTCCGTCGCGGCTGCCAGCTGTGCCGCGCGTTCTTTCCTCTCGAGCGATGCGGCCAATGTCATTTTCAGGCCGTCTGCGTGCGGCTGCGACTTCGCTGAGTACGCCGAGGCGGAATATTCGTGGTCCCCCATAGCTTCGGCCATCGCTGCTTTCACTTGGGCAACGCGGCTCTCATTCGGGAGGTCGGCATCGTTCGCGGGGAGCTCGCAGAACCGCAGCAGGACCGCCAAGTCATGGTTGCACTGCGGGCCCAGCATGATGGCGGGGTTCAGCCGGAAGTGGAACGGATGCGTTGTTTCCAGCGCTGGGAGCCCCACGTGTGGCGGGTAACGCAGGATCGGCAGCTCGCCAGTGCCGTCCCATCGAGCGTGTAGTTCCAAGCCATGCTGACGTTTGGCAATATCTTTCCCCGTCTTCGCGTCGGTCTGGCAAGCCCAATGCCAATAGTGCATGCGGCAGAATCCTTTCTTGCCGAGTCGCCCTTTGTAACAAACTGCCGGCCGACATACGTGATTGCCAGTTTTCCTGTGGGTCGTCTGGTCCAAGGGTTCCGTTTCAAGGGGGCGGCAGCCAACTCAGAGAAGTCCACGAAACACACACTCGTGGGTGTAATGGGGGATTCTGTTTCCGCCGCACCCCCAGAGGTGCCAAGAAACGTTTCGGGGGATTGGCAGTGCTCGGAAGACGGAAAGCTTCGTGGGGAGAATCCATTGAGCTGCTGTTGCTACCGCCGCCAAGAAACGGAACCCTACGAGCAGGCGAGAGGTCCTGGTCCGCGAGAAGATTTCCTGCACGGCCTTCACAGCCCACTTCCCGCTGTCGACGTTGCGGTCGGAGGAGAAGGACGTCGGGAAGAACGGGAACTCGGCGACGTCGCCGGCGCACGCAGCGGGTCCTTGCGGGTTGACGGAGAGGGAGGCCAGCTCATGTCCAGTGAAAAGGGGTAGTGCAATGCACGCATACATGTATGCATACATATGTGTGTACGGGCATGTACATATACACATGTATATATATATATATGTATAAATATATATAGGTACACATACATATACATATGTGTCTGTTGGGGGTAAATGCACTGCAACCAGAAAGAATGGCATTGCATTGTAAATACGGTATCACACGCACAGGTCCATCTAAACGTTTGCGGCCTAAAACGCATTGCGCGAAGCAAATCTCTAGCGCCCCAGGGGAGCTGTTGGACTAAATGTATTGCACCACCCCCTGGGAGCTTTTAGCTGGCTACCCTTTTCCATCGACTCGTTCCTTGCAGGCCCCGCCCCTGCCACTGGGCGGCGTTGCTGGCGGCCGTGCGAACGCCCCCGATCTTCTCCCGCTGCGATTTCGTCAACGGCAGCAACGGCAACTGTTGAAGGGCGGCTTGTCCGAGAGGGTCCTTCGCGTAGTGAGCGAATGCTTCCGTGCTGCGGAACGTGATAGATGCGACGTAGTGCCAGGCAAGTCGGAACGCGTTCTGCAGGTGGTCGCCCTGGAAGAGGTCGTCAGGGTGAGAGAATCCCACGAGCTGAATGAGCATGTGGATGTGCAGCGCTTTGCGCATCTGTTCTTCCACAACGCCTAGGTGCGCCCGAACGTGCCCGACGATGCCGGGCAAATTCTTCGCGGCGATCCCGTCGCAGTTGAGCTGGTCGGGCGCATCCGCGCAATTGAACAATGCGCGCATGACGAGCCGCACGGTCCAGTGGAAGACGCGCGTGGCAATGGGCGGGTCCTTGGCCACAGCTCGGTGAAGGCGCCGCGGGTCCTCCCGGTTGAAGTCGGCCATCCACTGGGTTGCTTCGTCGTCGGTCATGTCCAGGGAGAACTTGCGGGACAAGGTCGCGTCGTCCTGGGCCAACAGCACAGTGAGGGGGCTCCGAATGTCGTGCGGGTTCAGGGTGAAGAAGAGCGATGCGCATCCAGACCATATTCGCAGAGCCCGGAATCGCCAGATGAATCCTTCTCGTTCCTCGGCGGATCCGCGGACACGTCGGAGCACGAGGTGCATCCGGTGAGCGGCGTTGCGCACGACGGGATCGAGCCCTTGCTGTCGAAGCAGATCCCGGAGATTGGCCGCGTCCCCAGCGGCCGCAGCGGAAGAGACGAGGCCTTCAGCAGTGAGTTGCGCGAGCGCAGTGGTTTGCGCCGATGTCATGCCAGTGATGCCGTCGCTGGCCGTGGACTTCACGTGGGCCTCGACGCTGGCCATCTGGTCGCGCCGCAGGAAAGTGTTGAACAGCGTGGCCACGAACTCCACGTCGCGGCGCCAGCAAACAGTGTCGGCTCGAGTGAGCAACGTCTTCGCCCACGTCGCTGCGGGCAGGCGAGCGGGGCGCTGGGAGCACGTTTCCTGGTAATCCCCGCGGGGGAAGAGGCGGACGAAGCATGCCGCCCAGAAGTTCTCGGCCCGCGAGGACAGGAACTGGTCTCCGTGGGTGATCTGCACCGCAGCCGCGTCGTCCTTCTCTTGCGCCGCCCACTTGTCCAACTCCTTCCGGACAGAGTCGTGGGACATCCGTTGCATTGCCTCGACTGCTTTGGCGAGTGCCTCATTGTGCCGCATCTTCTTCTGCGCGCGAGCGGACGAGTCGTGGTCCTCCGACAACTTATGGATCTCATCCTGGAGACGCGATGCGATGTCGAAATTCTCCACGACCCGTGTCCACAAGCGGAGTGCTGGTACGTCGTCCATGCCTCCGTTCACTACGGCAGCGTTACCATCTTCAGCGGTTCCAGTCGGGTCTGGTTCGCGGGCGCCACTGTCGGTGCAGTCAGCTGGGCCCTCCGACGCCACCGAAGCCTTTGCTGCAGAAGCCGCAGTTGCTGCGGAGAGTACCTCCCGCGGAACGCCGGAGGAGCTTCCAATGCTGCTGGCGTAGGCACTGAGCAGGGCCTCCAGGGCGGCGTGCAATGTGCCCGAGCGCCAGATCTCGTGATGCCTGGTGGCGAACATGAACATCCAATTGTTGAGGGAGAGCCACCGGAACGCCGCGCGCAAGCGGAACACGGAGACCTGGAGGTCGGGGTGTCGGTGTAGATCGTCAAACGTCCCGCCCACGAACTGGATCACCATGGTCTGTGCAAGGGCCGCAGGTAGCATGCCTATGGCAGTCAGTGCGGTCTCGGGGCTCTGCGGGTAAGCCACCACGTTCTTCTGGTGGTGCGTGGGGGCCTCCGAAGTGGCCGTAGGAGCGTAGGACGCCTTGCTCAGGAACACGCGTTTGATGCTGACATACACTTTGGCGAGGTTGATGACCTTGCACTCAGCGTACGTGAGGTCCACGAACTCACGGGGGTCGGCGCCTCTCCACATTCCGTTCGCCAGAGCAGCTGGCGGCACTCGAACTCGAGGGCGGCGATCCTCACGGGGGCCGGTAAGTTCCCGCAGAGCGGACGCGCAATGCTTGCACATGTTCGCCGTGATGCCGGAGGCGGCGCCCTGGCAGTCTGCGCTGGACCTCGAAATGCCCGGGCGGTACAGCAGCCAAAGCCTGTCGGGGTGGCCGGGCGCAGCAGTGGAGTCCGCCGCAAGGTCGGTGCGCACGACCGCCGCCCAGCGCTGAACCCTCTCTTGCCAGCTTCGAGCAGCCTCGGGCGTAGTGAAGCCCAGGGAACTTTCCTCTCCCTTCAGCAGAGCTGCGACGTTGAGCTCTGCTTCTCGCAGCCGCTCACTCTTGCAGAAGATCAGTTCCATGTACCGGTCGACGTTGAAGACGTTGTCCAGCTGCGTGTGCCAAGCGTCCTTGTGCGCAGTCCAGACGTCGGCGGGCCATTGCAGCCAGTCGGGGCACGCGTCGTCGGAGGGGTCCGGTAGGTACGTCGTCTGGAGCTTGCATCGGCGCTTGTCCCGTGCGCAGACTGCGCAAGGTGCCATGGCAAAATTGGCATCGGTGAGCTCCGCCTTGAACGCAGCCAGACGTGCCCGCACAATTTGAGGACTGATGGGCGTTGGCCACTCTGTGAGGGATCGTTGAAGTACCACGTTCCTGTAGGAGTCCAGTACCTCACACTCGGCGTCGAGCACGTCGCGGTGCATCTCCATGAGGTGCGCGGGAATGTCCTCGGGCCGTACGTGGGCGAGACACAGGCGGCAGTGATCGGGGTGTACGTAATCGGGTGTGGCCGAGTATGCTGGTAACGCCTCCTGCGAGTGGGTCTTGTGCAGAAACAATTGAAAAGCTGGTTCTTTGCCGGTCCACGATTGGGCGGGCGGCAACGATTCCACGTACGATTCACTTTCGACTTGCACCAGCTTTGCGAGCATGGCGGGGGACTGTCCTGCGAAGCACGTCTTGCAACAGTGCATGTATATCCGATCGGTCCTCGCGGGCGTCTTGCCGCAGATGATGCAGAGCGTCCCTGACGCGGTCCAGCACGCGTCGCACAAGGCCTGCGAATCTTGGAAGTGTGTGGAGCAGAGGGTGCACGAACGGACAGAACGAGGGCAGTCCATGGTTGCGCACGGTCGGTGAGAAACCACCAATGTCTCACCGGTGATGGGATCTGCTTCCCGGTAACAGTACCCGCACACAGGCTCAACAAAATGGCGGCGGCACAGGCCGGATTGTCTCTCTTCGTCGCTGGAATGCACGGGGCACCACAGAGCGAGAGTGGTGCACAAGGAACAGCTCGGCAACGTGGCGTTTGGAACAGGTAGTTGCCGACAGATTTCACACGCGCGAACGGTTGCGCATGCGATGCACGATCGTGCGGTGTAGAACTTTGTGTGCGCGGGTGTCGTACTGCAATATCTGCACAAGCGGCCATCAGCAATCCAGCACTTCCCGCAGGTCTCATTGGGACTGGACGCCGCACAAGATGAACACAGTGGGAAAGTGGAGCGGCATGAGGATGTAGCGCATGGCGCTCTGCTCATCGACGCACTCGGCAGCGTTGCGCGGCACATCGTGCAAGAAGTCTGGGTCGAAGCGCATGCGTGGCACAAGCCTGAAGCGCGCTCGTCAGCAGTCGTGTGCGTGGGACAACCCATGACACAAGCAAGTGCATGGGCGTGGGTTTTTTTCGTGCGCGTCACACATGCGGAGCATCTCAGGGGGCAGTCCTCCGAGTTGTACCAGTTGCACTCGCCCACATGGCAGGCCCTTTGGCGCTCACATGGTTTGCACATGATCTTGCGCACAAGTTCCCGTGACTCTCCGCAGAAGTTGCATATCGACTTTCGCGCTTGCTGCTTCTGGGCGTACTTTTGGGGGAACAAGTTGCGGTAGCACACTTTGCAGTACCCGTCGTACCCCGTTTGTGCAAATGGTGTGTTCTTCTTGGCACCGTGGGTTCCTCGGCACAGCATGCGGCCCTGCGACATGGTGGCCGAAGCGCTGGGGGTGCACGTGCAGCCCTGGCGCCCCGCGGCGCCTCCAGGGGAGGTGCCTCCGACGTTGGCGGGCGGCGCGGTCGCGGTGGTTTGAGCCGAAAGCGTACGTGATAAGGCATGTTGCGGTACTTGTGTATTCGGTGGGTGGCTCCAGTATGCCATTCCAATGAACGCCGGCACTGTCTTGGCCCTGGAGGGAGTGCGAGACCTCGGACACGTGAGGGTTGTCAAAACGGGCCCAGAAGGCCGAAGATGCCCCAAGACGACCGAAGGGAGGGGTAGAACAACATAAGGTTCCAGCGTCAAAGTAAAATCTAATCAAGAAGAATCGTCGGACAAATCCCCGAACAAGCCAGACAACCCCTTCAGGACTCATGCTATGCGCGAGTGGCGAAGGTTAAACCTTCGTACGCGGCATCTGTGATGCTGGATGTGGGCGGATGTCTGAGAGGAAACTCACTGGACCACTTCAGGCCAGAGCATCTCTGAGCCCAGAGTTGCGAGGATGTCTCAGGCGACACTGGTTGCACCTTCATGTGCATGGCATGTGGGTCCATAGTTGGAAGCATGTCTCGTTTGACTGTCCGGGCCATCTTGGGTGAGGGTATCTCCGAGCTCAGAGATGCGAGGCTGTCGCGTGCCCGACTGGGCAGACTATCTCTCGCGAGGCATATTTGAACCCAGTTGCGGCACGTCGGAAGCGAAACTGGCCAGCGCACTTCGTGCGCGCAGTCTCTGAACCCATAGTGGGATGTCTCAGGCGAGACTGGGTGGATCAGCTGAGGTCGAGGCAACTTGGAACTACATGGGGGGGTACTTCAAGTGAAAGTGTCTGCACGGCTGTTTGCGAAGCATGTCTGAGCTGTTAGTTGGGAGGATATGTCAGGCGAGACTGGGTGGGCCACCCCAGGTCGAGGCATATCTGAGCTTATAGTTGCGAGGATGTCTGAGGCGAAACTGGCCAAACCACGTCGTGCGAAGCATCTCTGAGCCCGAAATTGCGAGGATGTCTCAGGCGAGACCGGGTGGACCACCTCATGTCGAAGTACTTGAGCTCAGAGTTTCGAGGAAGTACTTGAGCTCAGAGTTTCGAGGATGTCTGAAGCGAAATGGCGGGACGACGCTGTGCACAGCATCTCTGATTCAAATGTTGGGGGGATGCCTCTGACGAGACTGGGTGGAACACCTCAGGTCGAGGCATTTCTTAACCAAGAGTTGCGTGGATGTCTCAGGCGAAACTGGCCAGAACACTTTGTGTTCTGATCGAGGCATTTCTGCGACCAGAGTTGCGAGGACAACTCTGGCGAGACTGGCTGGACCTCGACGCGCATGGTCTCTCTGAGCACATAGTTGAAAGCATGTGGCTTTTGGGACTGGCCGGATCGGTCCGGGTAGGGGCACCTTCGAAGGCAGAATTGCGAGGATGTCGCATGCCTGACTGGCGTCTCTGAGCGGCATCGCTGAACCGAGAGAAGGGGGATTGTTCAAGCGAGACCGGCAGAACAACGCAGGGCGAAGCATGCTGAATCCAAGGGTGCGGGGGCGTTTCAGGCGAGACTGCCTGGAGCCGCCGCCGTACAATCGTCGTTATCGTCCTCGTCGTCGTCGTCGTCGTCGTTGTCGTCGCCGCCGCCGCCGCCGCCGCCGCCGCCGCCGTCGGCGTTACCGTTGTTTTTTTCATCGTCGTAGTCGTCGTCGTCGTCGTCGTCGTGTCGTCGTCGTCGTCGTTGTGCTCGTCGTCGTCGTCGTCGTTGTCGTCGTCGCCGCCCCGTGTTCCTCTTTCGTCCTCCGTCTTCGCCGCCGCCGCCGCCGCCGTCGTCGTCCTCACCCCCGTCCCGGTTCCCACCATCCTTTTCCTCATCTTCCACGCTCTCCATCTGTTTGCCGGCCGAGCCGAGCCGGCCGACCGCGTCGGGGGCGAGGGACGGGAAATGGCGGAAGAGGGGGGAGAGGAGGGAAAAAAAGGGGGGGGGCAAGAGTACGCAGGGGTGGCAGCGGCAGCGTGGCAGAGGCGACGGGGAGACGACGAATAGCCCAAGTAATCCGCGCAAGAACGACGGTGTCGCACTCCATGTGGGAATGCGTCCGGAGGACGAGGCGGCGGACGGGGGGGAATCATTTTGCGCCATCGTGCCAGAGGTACACCAGAGAACTGCCGACGCAGAGGCACTTGCGCGAGAGTAGCCGGAGGCGCCGCGGACCGGAAAGAGGGGGGCAGAATGGAACGAAGGGAGACGAAGGGTGCAGTGGCAAAAATCGCCCAATCCCCACCGTGGGGCCGATCTAGCTTGATTCTGGACGTGGACAAAACTCTGCAAGCTGGGCGAGCAGCGCTCGATGGCGAAAAAGTTGCCATGCGTGCTCTGACGTAGAGGGAGGGGCGTGGGTGGACGAGGAACGGAGAGGATGCCGTGGGAATGTCGGACGTTTGTTGGAAGGGGAAAGAGGGAATGCGCGGAAGAAGGGCATTGCGTTGTCGGGGAGGAGGAAAGGGGGTGGAAAGCAGGAAGACTGGGGCAAACGGGGGGAGCAGGGAGGGGTGGGGTTCAAGTGAGATGGAGCATGGCGAAGAGAAAGATGAGAAACGGTGTCTGTGTACGATCTGGAAGCGGAATCTGCCGAGGAGGTGTCTTGGGTCGGCAAGAGTGGCGGCGCCCGCAAACTGCGAAGAGATTGCATATAGCGGGGCGCAGCTTGGATGGAAAAGTGGCGCCTTAGAGCCGGTCGGGACGACACTACATGGGCGTCGCGGGCTCACCGAACGTAGTATGCATGCGCTTAGCGATCATGCCCTGCAGATCTGGGTCGAAGTCGTCCAGCTTCCTCTTGAGGGTGTGGGGGGGCGTCTTGAGGAGCTGCATCGTGGCCTGCATCTCGGCCGTCCAGGGGTCGAAGGACATGCCAGTGGGCTGTTTCCACATGTCCGCGACGGTGAGGACCTGCGCGCGGCCACGTCGATGTGGGTCACGCGCGCGAGAGCTACCTCCTTCCGCGGGAGCGCGTAGTATGCCAAACGGCTTGCGGGAGCAGACGTCACAGTTTCCCACTGCTGGTCCATGTGGTCGCCGCACGCCTCCGTGACGAAGTTGCGAATAGCGAAGCCGTCGGCGGCGGGCTCCGTCTTGGGCTCTTTGGCGCCGACGATGAGCGCGAGGATGCCGCTGGCAAGACGTCGTCCACCTTCTCCTGGGAGCGCGATGCTGATGAGGCCCGTGGGGGACTGGGACGCCCAGGTCAACTGCACGGGCACTAGGCGCGCGTCGCTCGGGGGGACGAGGTTGGGCTCAGGCACGTCGAAGTGCCGGCACTTGGCGGCCACGACGCTCAGCGAAGGCACGGTGCTCCCCGCGGGTGTGTCGAACCGCACGCGGAGGCGCGCTCTTGTGAACGCGAGACTGCCAGAGGTCGCCTGCTGGAGGAATTCGTCCTTGTCCTTCGTGTCCGTGAGTGTGAGTGCGACGCTCTCAGGCATGTCGGCAGCGACGGTGTTGGCAAAGTCCGTGATGTCCACCTTGGCCCAGATGCGAGTCTTGTCCTTGGTGAGGAGGTCCGCGGCGTCTGCGCTTTGCAGGGAGACCAGGGCGCCGGTGATCTCAAAGAGCGTGTGGGATAACGCGCGCTTGAAGTGCGTGGCGCACTCCAGGATGCCAGTGTGGGCGCTGCATGCCGCCCCGTCCTCCCAGTTGCCGCTGCTTTCCCACTTGGATAAGCATTCTTTTTTTTCGGCAGGAAGGGCTTGCACATTGCTGTCTCCAAGCGCGTGGGCAATGGGCCGGGTGCTGGACGCCGGTACCGCGAGCGTCTCCTTCCGGGCGGTCAAGTGGCGGCCGCCGGAGCTCTCCACCACGAGGTATACATTGTATACGTAGAGTGGCTTGAACGTGTCGATGTCCCCTGCCAGATGTCGGGTGTCGTCTCGGAAAATGAGCGGTATCTCTATGCCTGATGCATTCGACAGGGTCACCTTGACGTTGGACTTGCCCTCCGTCGCGCTTGTGGAGCCCGACACATTGGTAGCGACGGCTGTGACGTCGACGAGCTGGCTGGTTTCCAACTCG